AGAATTTTTGAGGAAAATAATAATTTATCATTATTTTACATAGAAAATGATGATTTATAATTAATTTCTTCAAAAAGTTCCATGGTCCCACTCTGATTTTTACATGGCTCATATGAAAAAAAGTAAGCTTTCGATTGCGATACGTTACAAAAAAACGAAAAACACCGATTTTGAGATTCAGTAAAACTTGGTTAATCCGATTCTGTAGGGACCCCACTAAGAATGCGTCTTATGCGGGAGAACATATTAGGTGGGATATAAAATGTATGTCTTTAATTGCAGGGACCACCATAAATGAGCGTCTTAAGCGGGAAATCGTATTAAACGGGATCGTATTAACCGGGTTCTACTGTATATTGAAATTAAAAATTTGACCTTAAATTTCAAGGTCAAATTGACAGAAAACAATTTTTTTTTTTCATCACCAGCTTATAGCCCGTAAAAACCCCTTTAATAATCACTATTCATACTTTAAATTTGATTAATTTTACTTATAAATATATTAAATCGAAAAAAATATATTTTCAAAAAAATCAAAATTTTGAAACTCCATAACTCAAAAAATATTTTTCATAACGCGGTGCAAAAAAGGGCACTTTTTTGCACCTTGTTATGAAAAATATCGTTCGTAACTAGTGCTAGCAGTTCGCTTCGCCTACAGTTTGTTCCAAAAAAGTGCTCATTCAAAAATTGACAACTGCTCGCACTCGTTACGAAATATACTATTATCAAATTCAAAAAAAATTAATATTTGTACTTCTACTAATAATAGTAACATTTTAGCAAAGTTTAGAGAAAATTCATTTTTTTACCTGGGCAGATGAGGAATTTTGCCCCATACATGTTCGTAATTTGTGGTTACGTTTTATTTTTTTACTCCGAATCCCTTTGAGATCCCAAGATAAAACTTACAGGACATGTAAAGCATATTTGCCTTAACATTTAGTAAAATTTTGAAAAAAATCAAAGATAATTTTTTTTCAAAAACGGATTTTTAATTAAATAAATCCCAACAAGTCATGAAAATAAGTGTTGAACTGACGTGGAATCCACCAATTACCACTTTTACTATCAACCCCTCATTTCAAAGTATTACGTTTATGCCCTCACGCATGCTACAAAATTAGCACGAGCGACAGCAAAATGTGTCTCATTGAGCAAGCACGGTGTAACTCGCACGTCATGTGCCTAAAGTGCAACAAAATCAGAACGAGTGACTGCTAAATGCGTCTCATTATGTACGCACCGCGTGACTCGCATGTCCTTCGCCCGAAGTGCGACAAAGTGCGACGCATGATTGTTATCTGGGGCAGTTAGCGGTGTAGAATTTTCTTGTGTAGAGTTTATTTGTGTAACATTAATACCGCCCCGTTTTTCTATGCACACAAGCACTTTTTGCAAAATCTGAATCCAAACCATTGACACAAATCTTCTTAATTACCTAAATCCAAAATATTTTTTTAATTCTTGAAGAAACGCGATTGCAAAATGGGAAAGGCCAGAGTAATGTAATGCGAATAATTTTAACAGCTGAGCCTTTACTCTCCCTGCATGCTTCTGCCCTCTAATGGCAAATGGCTGTAACAAACGTCTTGCCGCCTGTCATTACATTACTTTTGTTGCTTTTGTATTTCCCATTTTGCAACCGCGTTTCTGCATAGATTAAAAAATATTTTGGATTTAGGTAATTAAGAAGATTTGTGTCATTGGTAACTTGTATAATTATTTTTTTATTAACATTCACTAAATTGTCCGGACTAATTTTTGACTGTTTCAGGCTAATTCCGGATTCACTAGTTGTATACAAATCGTATAACCTGACAATAAACCGCACTATTTCGGATAAATTCTGGATTCACTAGTTAAAATTAACTGATTAATTTCAGACTTCATCGTACCAACTCCGGATTCACTAGTTGTTAATAAACCGTATAGAGTTCGGATTTTTCCGGATTAATTTTGGGCAGCCCGGTGACTCTTCTAGCTTAGCATGTAGAAAATGTTGTCAAGAGAACCCGGTAAGAAGCGAGGAATAGAAAAAGATTAAATTTCCAGAAATATTCTGTTAAACGAGGTTTTTTTAATCTTTCTGAATAGGCGAATTTCCAAAAAAAACCCAATTCCTCTGTGAACAGCAAAATATCAGAAAAATTAATTCCTCTCTATTGCTCGTGTCAATGAGATGATAAAAAAGAATCCAGAGTTTCTATTTTTTTGAATGCGCAAAATTTTTCTGCTTCTTAACGTTCAAAAAAAATACAGAATCCTATCCTTTTGAATCGACAAAGTAAATCTTGTAAAACCCAGGCGGAAAAGTCGGACGAATACCGGATCGTCCAACCGTCTAGCGCCCGCGCCGGTTGAATTGGAGAGTCAATGCCAGTGCAGGCAGTCTGTACCGATTCGGATTAGAATTTCTGCTGGCGCAGTACAAAGTCGGATCCGACTTTCGGTACAGTCTTTCTACTGTCGACAGTACAGGTGCGGTACAAGATTTGATCCGACCGCCTGATCAAAATTTATACCACCTCGCAACCGGCGTTGTACTGGCAATCGTCCGTCTAACGACCCGAGCGGTACAGGCATTCTACCGACTGAGAACTATATAATTTATCTTATTATTAATATATTAATTAATTTAATTTACTTACTTATTTATTGACTTATTATAAATAAATTATAAGTAATATTAAATTTTGATTGGATTTATTTAATATTACTTATTTGTTTATTTATTGATAATAAATCAATAAATAATTGTAGTGGCTGCGCGCCTGGCTCGGTACAGATTTGATGCCGCCAAACACCCGGCGTTGTACTGGCATTCGTCCGTCTAGCAACCAGCGCGGGCCAAATTATATTCTTTATTAAAAATTCAAATAAAAGAAATGTTTAATTAACTATGCAAGGTGAATGTTAATTAATATTTAATATTTCTTTCAAATTAATTACATTCATCTTTTTCTCTTTTTTAAAAACATTTATAAAGTATAAATGAAACGCAGTAAATTACAAATGTTTATTTTAGTTAATTTTGTATTGATTTCGAATAGTTATAAAGTGAAGTGTTCAACTAATTATTCCTAAATAATAAAATAAAGATAAATATTAAAAAGATTGAAGATTGAATAAAAATATAATAAAACTTTAAATTTATTTGCATAATATAAATAAAATGCTAAAATATTGAAAAATATTTGAGTAAAAATTATTATTCACTTTATATATAAGTTTTTGTTTAGCGGTATTGTATATTGGCGTTATTTTTCTCACATCCGCAAGCGAGCGAATAGCGTAGTGGTTAGCGTATTAGACTTCGATGCGTAGATTAGGATAGGCTTGGGCTTCGTATCCCACTGCGAGCGTTTATAATTTTAATGTGTAAAAAAAATGTAAAATGTGTAAAAAATGCTTCAAACGATCTATAAATAAATGTTAATTAACATGCACCATGCATAGTTAATTAAATATTTTTTTTTTTCAATAGAGAATATAATTTTGCCCGCGTCGCTTGCTAGGCGGACGAATGCCAGTAGAACGCCAGTAGAAAGTCATGTTTCGGAACAAAATTTGGCCCGTCCTGGTTGCCAGACGGACGAATGCCGGTACAACGCCGGTTGTTCGGCGGCATCAAATCTGTACCGAGCCAGGCGCGCAGCCACTACAACAAATTGTCAGGTTCCAGTACAATGTCTGCACAGCTCCGGTCGTCAGGCGGATCCATGCCAGTACAGTCTTACCGACGTCTGTACAGGCGCGGTACCCTGCCAGTGGGAAATTTCCGCCTGAGAAGCGAATTGAAAAAAATAAGAAATAGCTATTCTTTTCAATCGACTTTAAGCGATTCTACGTAGTCAATTCAAATGAATAGAAATTGTTTATTCTTTTCAATTGACTGCTTCGAATTTTAGAAACGCATTAAAAGGAATAGAACTTTTGGCAAACAATTTGAAAAAGCCTAATCTTTCCAATTATTTGTAGGAGCTCCTCTAGTTATTGTCTTAAAATAAAACGCAGTGACAGCTATTTTTCGCGTCGTGTGAATTTCATTGTGATTTCAGTGCTAAATTATTAAAATGAAATATTAAAACTAGTGAAAATATGGTTAAAAACGCACAGTGCTTACGATAAAATAAAAAAATTCTCTTATTGAAATAAATGAAAGAAATTTTCAAGTGTTCAATGTTTAATGTTAAGTTTTCAAAACCTAACCTTTTTTTCAAGTGAAATATTGAGTGATAGTAATGCAATTCAGTGGAATAGAAATTTCTACTGATTTAATGTACTCTCTCACTCTTTTGAATGCGCGTTTCATATTTTGGTGAAGTCAATTAAGAATAATAGATTTTGCTACTTTACCTTGCTCCACAGAGAAATTGGATTATTTTGGAAATTCGACCATTCAAAAGAAATGAACTTCTGAATTCTTTTCAATTCCTCTCTTCTTACCGGGTGTCTCTATTATGAAAAAATTGACGCAATATCCAAATTTTCATTTCGACAATTACGAAAAAAAGACTCTAACATCAATATCTCTGGTTCTTCTGGGAAGTTATTCAGATAAGAATTGTTTACAGTCTAGGACACCTTAGAGATGAAAAATCAAGAGGTTTTTAATTTTTCCACACCTCCATTTTTAAAATACGGATTACTTTTGCAAATGACCGACAAAATGGGCACTTTTCTTTTTTCTAAAGAACCAATGAAATCAAGCAGTTAAATTATCGATAAATTAATGAAAACCGCTTGATTCGACTTGTCAAAACATGTAGATTGATAATAAAAAATTTTTAAAAATTAAAATTTTGCTCCAAAATTACTAAATTGCGATTATCTCGAAAACTAGAACTGACAATATGGGCCCTTTTCATGTGGACGTCCACATATATCATTTGTTTTTTATAAAAAAACGTTATTTCAAGATTGGTATGTTTTTGGGCCAAAAAACTTATGATTTGTATGACTTAAATATAAAAAGTAAACTAATTGTTTTTACATACTTGTAATCCTCATTCGCACAAGTGAATGTATATACCTCCATTGGATTCCAACAAAGTTTATTCGAACGCAATGACATAATTACTTTACGTAAAGGACCTACTTCTCTTGTATCGTATAAAATTATACTTCGATCAGATGAGCAAACCGCTAAAATGAAATTAAATACTGTTAATATATGTTAAAACATCACAAAATAATAAATTTTAAAAATAAATAATAAAATACCTAATAAATTCGTTTGAACAGGATTAAATTTAACGTCATGCAGACTGTCCACGCACCATTTAAAAGATTTAATTGGTTTACTTTTACTTGAATCCCAAAGATGACACACTTCACCACAAGTTGCGAATTGATTTTTTTTACGATTATGTGATACAGCAGTTAGTAGAGTCTATAAACAAATTAATTATGACTGTTAGAACTACATAGAGAGTACATAGCTGAAGTTTAACTTTTATGTTTTTAGGTCAATTTTCTCATATGTACCAATCCAGTGGGTCCAGAGGTTGAAATTGACAGATAAGAATTATGTAATCATTTTCAGAGATAGTTTTGCTATAATTATATATATACATATACAGAGTATTTTTTCAAATTATCCATTATTGTATTAATAGTGCTCATGTACATCTTAAAATGTTTATAATTCTTTTAATGAATTTGTGCACCAAGATATATCAGTTTTTACCCTGTCGAAGAAATTCGAACAAAGTGCGTTTAAATAGTGTTTTATAAAATGTTTTCTCCATGTGAATTGCCTTTTTAAGAACACAATACACTGAAACCTCACTTATTTAAATATGGGTCACGCAATTCAACACGAAGTGTCGTGTTTATTTGTACTTTGGTACACTGAAAAAAATTTGAGCGCCGAGACGTCTCAGCCATGGTGGCGCTGCTTTCTCTTACTTGTAAGAGCACTGATACTCGCTTTGTGGGATCGCAGCGCACCCACAAGGGGTACGCAGATGTCCCACAGACTGTTGCCCCAGTCTGATGGGCTTGCATCTCTACCACTGTGGGTCACCTGTGCACTAACAGTAGGTACGCAGCGTACCCAAACACAGGTCAGCATATGTGACCTGGTCTATGAAAAGGGACCTTACGTGTCAAAAAATCATTTTTTACTTTTTTGTTGATTCGGATAGGGTTTGAAACGCTCTTTAAGATGGTGAAAACCAAAAAATCATAAGTTGATTAGAAGTTTTTAAAAAAAATTTTTAAAGTCAAAAGAAACAAGAGTAAAAACACGAAAAAACTGATTTTTTGTTATTATACAAATTAAAATAACAAAGACGATAATTTTTTATTATTTAGAAAAGTTGACAGTTTCTTTGACAACTGTCGAAAGTTAAAATTCAAATTTGATATCATATTCGTAATCAGCGACCTCAAAAACCTTATTACTGTCTTTTTTACAAAAAACGATCACTTTTTAGAGAAGTTGACAGCTGTCAACTGTCAAATTGTCAATTTAACATCATATTCGTAAACAGCGGCCTCGAAAACCCTTACAAACATGTGTCACTTATTTATACTTATTGTTGCTAGTTAGAAAACTTAGATTATTTTTTCTATGTTTGTTTGTTTTATACTTATTGTTGCTAGTTAGAAAACTTAGATTATTTTTTCTATGGAGTTTGTTATTAATTTATATAAACAATTATTAAAAACAATTTTTCATTACTTGTATGTTTTTTATTTTGATACTGTGATTCACGGTGAAGAAAATAAGCCTAAATTGATTAAAAAAAATTAATATTTGAAAAAGTTACAAGGGTTTTTCTAAGTTAAACTTTAACTGTTGTTTTCTCGAAAACTTGTTTTCGCACGTTAGGTCCCTTTCCACTGTCCAGGTCACATATATACTCTTTTTGGGAATGCTGCGTCACTAGCTGGTGCAGCTGCACACCCAAATTTTTTTCAGTGTAGGCATAACTTATATTGGTGACGCAATTTGATAAATTGACATGATTGGCTGGTTTTGTTTGAACTCAACCCTGGTAAAAATTTCGGACTAATTCCGGATTAAATACGGACAGATTATTACGGATTAGTCCGAAAATTGTACAAAAAAGGTCCGAAAATGATCCGCATTAGTCTGATATTAATCGGAACGAAAACCTGAATCCGAAAACACTCCGATGTAATCCTGAATGTCTACGAATTCAGTCCGTAATTAGTCCGCAACAATCCGAATTTATGACCGGTGAAGAATTCTTCTAAAATATGTACGGAATTATCAGAAATCAATATGTAAAGAATACGGAATCAGTCCGCAACAATTCGAATTTAATCTAGTTAAAAAAACTTAATCCGTAAAATGTCCGAACCAATCCGAACTCTGTATGCAAGAAATCTGATATAGTCCGCAACAATTTGAAATTAAGTGTTGCAAAATCCTATTCCGAAACAAGTACGAAACAATCCGAAAACTGTATGCAACGAATTCGGAAATTGAGGCTCCGGATCTTAAAAGGACACTTGCAGCATTGATTTTAAATGGCAAAAGTGCCCTTTTAAGATCCGGAGACTCAATTGTCTGCAACGATTGAGATTTGATCCAATTGAAAGACATAATCCGAAATATGTATGCTAAGTATCCGAAAATTGTCTAAAATAATCCGGATTTAATCCAATTAAAAGGCATAATCCGAAACAAATACTAAACAATCCGAAATATGTATGCAAAGAATCCGGTAATAGTCAGCGGCAATCCGAATAATATCCGATCAAAACACCCCAGTCCAAAAGAAGTCTTATAATAATATGGAATTTGTAAACATATATATACAATCCACAGACAGTCCAAAACAATCCATATTCAATCCAATTCAAAGGCTTAATCCGGAATGATTTTGGTCAGATAAATTCAAACTATAATTATAATTTCGTATGACAAATATCTGACCATAACCAGATTAATTCCAGACGTAATCGGAGTATTTGCAAGTTGCGTATTACCAGACTAACTTCAGACTAGATCGTACTAATTCCAGATTCACTGGTTATACACAAACCTATTGAGTTTGGATTTATCTGAACTAATTCTGAGTGACGAAAACCTGACGATAAGCAGACTGTTTCGGATTAGCTGCGGATTCACTGGTTAAACCAATCGGATTACTTCTGCATTTATTAGTTGCATATAATCTGACTAACTTCGGACTAAATCGGACTAATTACGGATTCAATAGTTATAAAAAACGGTATTGATTTTAAACTTAATTCAGGGTGAAAAACTCCACAATAAATCGTACTGTTGCGGACAAACTCCGGATTAGTCCGAAATCTGTCCGACTTTTTATTCAGGGTATTTACTTATGGTAAATAAAATATTTGCTTTTGCAGTCAATTTGATTTTACACTAGTATTATTAGTTATCTTTTTTAATATTATAATTAACACTGATGCATTAGTTTTTTGTCATTTCTTTTCGTGGCACTTGATAAATTCTATTATGAATTTAAACTCCCATGCGAGCGTGGTATAGTGGTTAGTGTATTCGATTTCGGTGTGATATAATGTTAGATAGGTGTAGGTTCGAATCCCCAAGTGTTAGAAATTTTAAGTTAATGTAAATAAAATTGCGATAGGTAAATCGAAAAATATGTTGAATGTACCATAAAGTAATAATAATTAATATGTGTAACTTGTATAATTATTTTTTTATTAACATTCACTAAATTGTCCGGACTAAATTTTGACTGTTTCGGACTAATTCCGGATTCACTAGTTAAAATTAACTGATGAATGTCGGACTTCATCAGACCAACTCCGGATTTACTAGTTGTTCACAAACCGTATAGAGTTCGGATTTATTCAGATTAATTTCGGGTGACAAAAACCTGACTTCGGACAAATTTCGGATTAGTCCGAAATCTGTCCGGTTTTTTAACCAGGGAACCAATAGGAATGTAAGTATCTTGCCATTGGTCGCGTACCGCGCATGAGCTAAGGCAAGCGGGGTTAGGTCTGATACTAACTGAAAGTACACTCAAATCTCGCTATAACGACCTTCTCTATAATGAGGGCTCTGTCTCTCGGTATAGCGAGAAAAATTTCCTTCCTATTACCCCTACTATTTATAAACAAATGCACATTCTGTTGATTTAAATTTGGTTAAAATCAATTTTATTTATATCACAATGAGCATAAAAAGTCACTTCTTTTTTTAAATTATATCCATGAGTCGAATATCTTTAAAATTTTAGCTTATATAAATTTTCTGTATGTTGAAGTTCAAATTAAACTAGGTTACGTTTGTAATTTTTACATTACGTAGATTGTAAACACAAAAAAAATGAATGAAGAATCTTAAAAGTGGGGATTTTTCATTTCTCCTCTTGCGCTCGTAATAGAGGGAGACTTGACTCCCGAACTTCTCGTTATAGCGAGATTCGAGTGTACCCAAGTAACCTGTAAGTTTGCAGCAAACTTACACCACAAGATTTGCAATCTTACACGTAAGCTTACTGCAAGTTTGCTGCAAGTACTAAAATGTCCTACTTGCTGCAAGATTGCACAGCAAGCTTAGGACAAGCCAACACTGCAAGTTTCTTAAAAATTCCCAAATATTTAATTATATAATATTCAGCAAATTATTTAATATTTAGTTTTTATTTAATTTTAATATATTTAATATTTATTTAAAATAACATAATGGCAACAACGTTATAATAAAAATGTCATTAATTTCTCCAATCCACAGAATTGTAGTTGTGTACTATTATATTATATTATATTATAATATATTATATTATATTATATTATATTATATTATATTATATTATATTATATTATATCCGTGATCAGTGGATAATAGTAAAAAATTGTAAATGTCGTGGCAGACATTAATTATTGATATTATGATCTAAGATACTATTGTGAAGCACCTGTTTAGGGGACTGATACTTATACTCTCCGCGAGACAAGTCGTGCGCGAGAGAGGTATTTCTCGCCATCTATCACGGAGTTAGAGAATTAGATATCAATAATTAATGTCTGCCACGACGTTTACAATTTTTTACTATTATCCACTGATCACGGATAATAGTACACAACTACAATTCTGTGGATTGGAGAAATTAATAAAATTTTTATTATAACGTTGTTGCCATTATATTATTTTAAATAAATATTAAATATATTAAAATTAAATAAAAATTAAATATTAAATAATTTGCTTAATATTATATAATTAAATATTTGGGAATTTTCAAGAAACTTGCAGTGTTGGCTTGTCCTAAGCTTGATGTGCAATCCTTCTTTCTTCTTTTAAAAACCTCTTTATTAATCAAATATATATATAGTATGGTGTACATTTTTAGTTATCATTTACAATGAATTCCGCTCCTGTTGCATGAGAACTTATCAGAATATTTATTATGT